GGGTGGCCATCGAGCTGGCGCTGCTGGGTGCCCGTGTGGTGCTGCTGGAGAAGCGYGACTCCTTCTCCCGAAACAACGTCCTGCACCTCTGGCCCTTCACCATCCACGACCTGCGGGCGCTGGGTGCCAAGAAGTTCTACGGGCGCTTCTGCACCGGCACTCTGGACCACATCAGTGAGTTTTAGGGGGACCAGGCTCTGTACCCCCAGGGTTCCTGGGGGTGCAGCCCTGAGCTCCTCTCTTCCCTCGCAGGTATCCGGCAGCTCCAGCTGATCCTGCTGAAGGTGGCTTTGCTTCTGGGGGTGGAGGTGCACATCAATGTGCGGTTYGAGGGCCTTGTTCCCCCCACGGGCAAGGCAGGTACGGTATTGCTGCGGGGTGGGTGGCATCCCTGGGGACAAGGACAGGGCTGTGGGTGGCCACTCTGAGCCGCCCAGTCCCTCTGCTAGCCCAGGGCGGGCCTTTTTGAGGGGGAATCAGATGCAACCCGTCCCCAGCACACTCACGACTGTCCCTCTCCCTGCAGGTGGCTGGCAGGCTGTGCTGCAGCCCAGCTCCTCTCCCCTCACCCACTACGAGTTTGACGTYCTCATCTCAGCTGGCGGTGGCAAATTTGTCCCTGAAGGTGACAGCAGGTGTCCCTGCAGCCCCAGGAGCCGTGTGGGGGTCTGGGTGGGGGCTCACACTGTCCCCTCCTGCAGGGTTCAAGCGGAAGGAGACGCGTGGGAAGCTGGCCATCGGCATCACCACCAACTTCATCAACCGCCACAGCCGYGCCGAGGTGGAGGTGGCCGAGATCAGCGGCGTGGCCCGAATCTACAAYCAGAAGTTCTTCCAGAACCTCTACAACAAAACGGGTCAGTGGTGCCAACCCCCAGAAGGGGAGCTTTGGGGGCTCCTGTCCCCTCCTTGGGAGGCTCAGCCCCAGGTGTCCCCTGTGATGGGATTCGTGTCCCCACGTGGCACCCCATGGCAGGGGACATTTGGTGGCTGAGGCCCGTGCTGGGGGTCCCTGTGGCCCTGGCTCAGCCCCTTCCCCATTCAGGCATCGACCTGGAAAACATCGTGTACTAYAAGGACGACACTCACTATTTTGTCATGACGGCCAAGAAGCAGAGCCTGCTCAAGAAGGGGGTCATCCTCCAGGTGAGAGGGACAGGATCTGGCCCTGGCATCCCCCAGCAAAGGGCAGCTGAAAGCCTTGAAGGTGGGATGCAAATTGAGGGTGCTGTTTAGACTGCTGACCCCTGGGGTGGTGGGGACTCAGCAGCTGTTCAGTGCCACAAGAAGAACCCTTCCAGGGGGCTCAGAGCCCAGGGGCACAGCTGCACCYCAGAGAGGAGGGACAAACACCACCTCCCACACCCAGCCAGCTCCACCCCATCCCCGCAGGACAAAGCGGACATCGAGAGCCTCCTGGCCCCCGACAACGTGAACCGGGACGCCCTCCTCAGCTATGCCAAAGAAGCTGCCAACTTCTCCACCAACTACTGCCTGCCCGAGCTGGAGTTTGCCCTCAACCACCGGGGCCTGCCGGACGTCGACATGTTCGACTTCACCTGCATGACGCGCTCRGAGAACGCGGCGCTGGTGCGGGAGCACAACGGGAACCGTCTGCTCCTGGGGCTGGTGGGCGACTGCTTGGTGGAGGTGAGAGTTTCTCCTGCAGCACCATCTCACCCCTCCATTTCCCACTCCCTGGTCGTGATATATCCCCCCTCCCTAAATGCTTCTCACCCCAACCGCCCTGTGCACCTCATCCTTGGGCAGGCTCCCCAAATCCCACTAGTGGCRTGCTTTKGGGGGKKTTTCCCCCTCTCCAGCTGGAGATTTGGGGTTGGCTCGGGATGGAGGAGCAGCCCAGCCCATGCCCAGACGCCGCTGTGCTTGCTGGGGAGGAGACGGCCGCCCATCCTCTCCGCACGCGTCCTGCCGCCGCTCCCTCTTTCATCGCTGGCCAAGCCTGGCAGCTCRGAGCCTCCTCCCAGCTGGCCTGACCAGCCACGCAACTCCAGCTCTGCCCTTCTTTTCGCAGCCCTTCTGGCCACTGGGCACCGGCGTGGCCAGGGGCTTCCTCGCTGCCTTCGACGCGGCGTGGATGGTGCGGCGCTGGGCGGCCGGGACGCCCCCGCTGGAGGTGCTGGCCGAGAGGTGAGCGTCCCTGTCCTGCTGGGCTGCTTCTGGAGCACCTGGGGACAGTGTCAGTGACCCCAGCGCTGTCCCCTGCRCCCAGGGAGAGCATCTACCAGCGCCTGTCGCAGACCTCGCCAGACAACACCAACAAGAACATCAGTCAGTACAGCATCGACCCAGCCACGCGCTACCCCAACATCAACCTGCACTCCATCAAAGCCAGCCAGGTACCTGCCACGTGCTGCCATGGCACAGCCACCCACCCAGCCTGCCTGCTGTCAGGGTGACACCAATTTACCCAGGCCTGTCCCCAAAGGGTGTGAGAACAAAGCTGTTAGTCCCCAATGAACACATTGCCTGTTGTGGGTGCTGGAAGGTTCTGGAGAGTTGTGTGGGGGTGTCCAGGTGACCTCCTTGCCAGGACCAGCTCCCTGTGTGGTGCCATTGGTTCTGTAAAGGTGGTGATGTCCTGCCCTGTCCCTTTTGGCAGGTCAAGGACCTCTACCTCGTGGGCACAGTGGAGGTGGACCACAAGAGGAGGAGCGACAATCGGCTGAGCATCAGTAGGAGCAACCAGTCCTGCCCCACAGCAGCAGCTCCACTCCTTCCATAAGCCCCACTCCTTCCATCAGCCCCACTCCTTCCATCAGCCCCATTCCTTCCATCAGCCCCACTTCTTCCATCAGCCCCATTCCCTCCATCAGCCCCACTCCTTCCATCAGCCCCACTCCTTCCATCAGCCCCACTCCTTCCATCAGCCCCACTCCTTCCATCAGCCCCACTCCTTCCATCAGCCCCATTCCTTCCAGCAGCCCCATTCCTTCCAGCAGCCCCATTCCTTCCAGCAGCCCATTCCCAAGCAGCTCCTGCCCTGATTTTCCTCCCCATCCCTGTTTCTCGTGCCCTGGCCTGTNTCCTTCCAGCAGCCCCATTCCTTCCAGCAGCCCATTCCCAAGCAGCTCCTGCCCTGATTTTCCTCCCCATCCCTGTTTCTCGTGCCCTGGCCTGTGTCCAGCTGGCTGTCCTGGTGACACCACTGGTTTCTGTCCCTTCTGCCCATGGCCTGCGTAGGGAGGGACCATCTGGGGAGGGGGCTGTGCCCCTCCAGCCTGCACTGATGCTGAGCTGTGAAATATTGACAGATGCTTTACCAACTGATTTATGGAGCCTTGCAGGGCTGGTTGTGTGGGGACAGAGGTGTCTTGGGTCACTCCCATGGATCCCTTCCCTGTTAAAGGAGCCTTGAGGGTCGTTATGTGGGGAAAGGGGTGTCTCGAGTTGCTCCCATGGAATCCCTTCCCTATTTAAGGAGCCTTGCATGGGTGGTTGTGGGGGGACAGGGGTGTCTTGGGTCGCTCCCATGGGATCCCTTCCCTGTTAAAGCACTGCTGCTGAGGCAGGAGGTGGGCTGGGGGCATGTCCCCGTGGAATGGGGACACACAGGCTGCCTCCCCAGCAGCTCCTGTGGTGTACGAAGATCTGCTGAGCTGGTGCCGGGCCAGCACGGCTGGATACCCTGGCGTGGCCGTGACCAACTTCACCAGCTCCTGGCACAGTGGCCTGGCCCTCTGTGCCCTCGTCCACCGCTTCCGCCCGGACCTGGTGTGAGTACCCGGCACCCCCGCGAGCCCCCCACYCTGCAGAGCCCACCCTGATGGCACCCCCATCTCCCTGCAGGGACCTGGACTCCGTGGACCCCCAGGACACCATTGGGACCCACCAGATGATGCTGGACATAGCAGAGCAGGAGCTGGGCATCCAGCCTGTGCTGTCCAGCGCTGAGATGGCCAGCGTATCAGAGCATGAGCGCCTGGGCCTCATCACCTACCTCAGCCAGTTCTATGAAGTGTTCAAGGCCTCTCCAGGTGTGAGATTTTGGGGGGATTTGTCCCATCCTGAGCCTCACTGGGGCCGGCTGGGTGCTCCCCTGTTTGTAGGGTGGCTCCCACCAAAATGGCCATGTCCTGTGCAGAGGTGGAGGTCAGCAAGAAGCCGCTGTCCCCGCACGGCACGCGAGGGGCAATCCTTTTCCTCAGCAAGCTGCAGAAGAGCCGCAACCGGACACAGAAACGCCCCCAGGTGAGGGAGGGACCCCCACCCAGACCCTCGTGACACACCAAAGCCCTGTCCCCCTCCCCACCATTCCCAACCCCTCTGCATTTGCAGGACAGTGCCCAGAAGGACGCTGAGGTGAAGAGGAGCCGCAGGGACACCGAGGTGGGTCTGCCCCGGGCACCTCGAGGGGTGTTGTGCTGGGGTGCTGTCCTGGGGGGAGAGTGGGGGGCTGACCCTCCCCTTGGGTCACTTGTAGCTGGACACGGGGCTGGATGGAGACTCCACTCCGGACAGTGCCCACGCGCCACCACAGCCCGCCACGACGGACCCAGGGCAGGTCGGTCCTCGTGTCACTTTGTGTCACCTGGTGTCACCTTGGGATGGAGGGGGCAGCTCAGGCGGGTGGGCACCGGGAGGGCACCGGGGGGGCACCGGGTGGCACTGGCAGGGCCAAGCCAAGGGCTGGGGCCGGGGCTGTGCCAGCGAACGCCCACAAGCTCCCGGCTCCTCCCTGCCGGCTTCCTGACCCGACTGGTTTTCCGGAGCCAAGGCTTGCCGCTCCCTCACCCATCCCAAACACCCCGAGCTGGCGCTGCGAGAGGGGCACAGCCCTGCCCCGTGCCCCCATGGCTGCTGGCACGGCCGYGGGGCAGCGTGGGGATCAGGACCCCGGTGCCACCCCGGCCTGTCCCCTGTCCCCGCAGCCCCCGAGGGACAGGACGGGGGACAACAGTGACGCCTGCTACTTCTGCGGGCGCCGTGTGTACATCCTGGAGAGAGCCAGCGCCGAGGGACGCTTCTTCCACCGCGGCTGCTTCCAGTGCCGGCGCTGCGGGGCCACCCTGCGCCTGGGYGACTACGCCTTCGACGAGGAGGATGGTGAGGTGGCTTTTGGGGACGGATGGGGGATGCTTGGGGCTTCACCTTGTGGGTTGTCACAAGAGTTTGCCTCCCCTCCTTCCCCACCCCAGGTAATTTTTACTGCTCACTGCACTATCCCAATGCGCCCAGCACGGATCTGCCGGAGGATGAGGCTTCGGCGCTGCCCGATGGGGTAAATCACCCTAAATCYCTGCAGGTGATGGAGGGACGGTGAAATGTGGAGGGGGATGCTTGTGCATGGATGTCCTGCATGCCCCCTCTGCTCTGCTCTGCTCTGCCCTAGGACGCTGCTGCTGCTGCCCACCCCCCCTCAGACGCTGGCAGCCCAAGGGTGTCCCCCCTGGAGTGGGCACCCAGTCCACCTGAGCCCACCCCAGCAGCCCCACAGCCAGGGGAAGAGCCTGGGGAAGCTGAGGACACTGCTGGTGACACGGAGGAGCTGCTGGCAGAACCTGGCGAGGATGAGGAGGAGGAGGAGGAGGATCCCAGAGCAGAGCCCCGAGGGGCAGCAGAGGAGGGTGAGGAGGGTGGGGGCAGGAGGAAGATYGTCCTTACGCCGCTGGAGAAGCTCAGCCTGTCCACGCTGCACCTCACCAGCGAAGCAGAGCCCGAGCCTCCGCTGAAGCCAGCGCGTCTGCGGCTCCAACCTGCACCTGAGGCCCTCCCTGCCCTGGGGCAGGGACAGGGAGCCTGGAAGGAGGAGGAGGAGGAGGAGGAGAAAACTGAAATGGAGAAAGGTAGGTGGTACAAGGGGGAGTCTCCAGCTGAGCAGAGCTCCCGGTCCCTCCAAGACCCTGTGGTACCCCTCACCTTGCTCATGAACCAGCCTGAAATTGTGCTTTTGTTGGGCAGCTTTGGAGGAGAGCGACAGCGAGGAGGAGGAGGAGGAGGAGGAAGAGGAGGTGGGGAAGGAGAAAGAGGAGGAGGAAGGCATCGTGAAAGAGTTGGTGAGGATTTTCTCCGAGTGGCGGTGGCCCCACCAGCACAGGCCGTGCTGGGGCTCTCGTTCCTGTCACAGAGGGTTTGGGTTTGGCTCGGCYACGGCTGCCAGGGCAGGAGGTGCCCAGCACAGGGACTGACCCCCAGCCTGTGCCACCATCCCTYCACAGTACCCAGAGCTGGGGCAAGAGGAGAAATACCCCACCTGGAGGCGCACGGTGGCCCGGMGGGCCAGGGAGGACCAGATGAAGCGGTTCTGCAGAGCCCAGGTAATCCCACAGGGGACAGCCAGCTCCCCAGTGTGGCACTGTCCCCTGKCCCCTYCRTYCTGCTGCTGCTGGCYACRKGYTGGCAGGTGCCAGCCTGCAGGTGAGCTCTGCCCTTCCCTCCCAGGCCATCCAGAGGCGGCTGGAGGAGATCGAGGTGACATTCCGGGAGCTGGAGCAGCAAGGCACCAAGCTGGAGAAATTACTGCGGGCTGAGAACGGTAAGGCCGGGGTGGACGGAGCACTGTGACCCCATGATGGGGGTCTGCACCCTGCTCACTGCTCCCCTGTCCTGCAGAGAGCCCGGCTGACCTGCAGACACAGTGGACAAACCAGCTGCTCTACCTGGTCCAGAAGAAGAACAATCTGATGAGCGAGGAGTCGGACCTCATGATCGCGTGAGGCTTGGGGGATGCTGCGGGGGCTCAGCTCGGCCCAGCCCCGAGAACCCAGCACCCAGCAGAGCCTTTTCCTCCCCACAGGGTGCAGGAACTGAAGCTGGAGGAGCAGCAGTCTCAGCTGGACCAGAAACTCCGCAGTTACATGAACAAGGAGGGTGAGTGCCAGCACACGGTGCGGGGAGGGTCCCTTGGCGTGGTGTGGGAACTCTCCCAACCCTACTCTGTCCCTTTGCACCCACAGGAACCCTGAAGACACTTGAGGAGTRCCAGGCTGAGCAGGAGACCCTGAAGCAGCTGGTGGAGGTGGTGAATAAGCGCAATGTTCTCATCCAGCTGCAGGAGCAGAAGCGGCTCAGCGAGCTCCGGGCTTGATCCGCACAGCCCCCAGTGCCACCAGGGGGACAAGCAGGGGCTCTGTGTGTGTCCCCCGGGCTGAGCATCACTCTGAGCCACCTCTGGACGTGCAGCAAATCCAGCTCCCTGCTTGCCAAAGTCTGTCACGGACAGGGTGGATGCCCATGAGGACACATGGAGAGCGCTCAGCCCTTCTGCAGGGAGGCCGTTCCTGTGCCTCGCTGCACTGCCTTTGCCTTGTTCCTGCTGGAAAACAAGACTGGCAGGGGACTGCAAAAAGGGGCTGTGGTGGCTCCCAGCAGCCAGGAGGTGACTGTGGCCACCAGAGGCAGATGGCACCATGAGGAGCGGTCCCTCGAAGCCACCCTGGGACACCTCTCCCAGCTGAGGACATCCATCCCAGCCTGGACCGTTCATCTCTTCAAGGGACACCTGGCTGTACGGTGGGGGCCGGTGACAGACACATGGGGCTGCTCCTGCCACTCTGCACCACTGCTTTGGGATGCCACATCCACGCTGTCCCCAGCTGCTGCAGGAAAGCAGGCTCAGCACCCTACCATGAGCTCCTTGGGCCAGGGAAGAGCTTTTTATCCAGCAGCTCCTCAGGGAATTGTGCTCAGGACCAGCACCGACACCAAGGACAAGGGACACCGGCAGCCGTGCCCTCCTTGCCCCTGTGGGGTTTCTTCTGCTTGGCAGTGCCATGCTGGCCTTTGCACAGACCTCAGACACCCCTGGCTGTTGCAGGGTGGCCTCAGTGGCTGAACAGTGCTTGGGGCAGCCCCAGACGTGTTGGGGATGGGGGTCCCAGGCATCGGTTCCTCTGTTGGCAGAACCACCCTGTGCTCAGCCCTCATCCTGCYGTTCCCCTCAGCACCTCCTCCAGCCCTCCCTGTGTTTGTACCAGCCCTGCCACCCTGCTGAAAAACCCCTCCCTTCAAATAAAATCCCCCTACCCAATGCCAAAGGTTAAAATACTGCCTTTATTTTCCATCTGAGGGAAAACTGGCTGCCAGAGCAGCCACCAGCGTTCACTTTGAGGCCACCCCAGGCAAGGGGAGCCTGAGCCTCTCGAGCCTTCCAGCCAGGCCAGTGGGTCCCTCCATGTACAAAAGGGTGTATTTAAAAAGACAGCAATAAAAATCTGCCTCCATTGTGGTTCTCACAGGGGTCAGTGCAACGAATCTATCCCAAAAATCTGAATTCAGCCCAAAGGCAACTGTCGAACCTGCACTACTGCACTGGCTGCAGTGCTGCTCACCTAAAACCTGAAATCAGCTGAAAAAAAGGGATCCAAAAGGGGACACGGTGGGGCCAAGGGGACATTGTGGGACACCCACACCCTCAGCTCAGCCATCACTGGGACGCTCCTGCAGCGCCCGCAGCGCCATCCACATCTGATCCTCGGTGCCGTGCAGCATCTTCACCTCCATGGTGTGGAACAGGTGGAGGCCGGTGGAGAGGACGAGGACGCCGAGGGCGAGGAAGGCCAGCAGGCAGAAGGAGAGCTTGGGGAAGGGCTGGTCAGGGCCCAGTCCGGCCAGCGTGCCCAGTGCTGCCATGGCCTGGAGCAGCAGCAGCAGCAGGGCCAGCACGGCCATCCTGCCCGAGGAGTAACGCTGCCGCTGCGCCGCCCGCAGCCCCACGCCCACCTCCGTCCGTGCCTCGGCCACCACGTCTGCCAGCACCAGCTCTGTGGGGACAGGGGGTGTCAGCAGGGTGGGACCCCTAGAAACCATTCCTATGCCTCCAATCCACCCCAATACCCTTCTCCCATCCCCATGGCCCCGCAGCCATCCACAAGCAGCACCCTAAGAGGAAACACCCCAAAGAGCTCCACCCACCTCCACCAGTCAATTCAGCAGCACCCTAAGAGGAAACACCCCAAAGAGCTCCACCCACCTCCACCAGCCCATCCAGCAGCCCCCTGACTCACCAGCTGTGCCCAGGGTGGCCCCCTCAGCCTGTGGCTGCCTCTGGATGTGCAGCGTTGCCATCACGGCTTCGTGGTCCGAGAAGGGGATGTCCACGCCTGGGGCTGGCCCCGTGGTGGTCTTGAGCTCTTCACACTTCACTGTGAAGCTGGAGATGGCCTGGGAGAGGGGACACGGGGGTCACAGCAGTGACCCACCCCTGCCATCCCAGCCGGTGGCCGAGCTCCCCCCCGGTACCTTGTAGAGGATGTAGTCGATGCGGATGCCCAGTGGGAAGGGCAGCAGCTCTGACTTTTCAGTGAAGCAGTTGTCAGGGACAAGGGTGCAGCCGTTCTTGCAGCCCTGACACAAGAAGCCTGGGTGGGTGGGGAGCTCTTGGTGCGCCCCAGGACCCCACTCAGCCCCTTGGCTCACCTCAAAGTGCTTGGCCTCGGCAAAGGCGTCCCGCAGCCCCGTCCAGCCCCGCAGCAGCCGGATGCCCACATCCTCAGGGTGCATGTTCAGGTCCCCTCCCAGCAGCACCACGTCTGCTGCCTTTGAGGTGTGTCTGTGGGGACAGGGGTGGCTGTCCTGACTGTCCCTGCCCTGCCCAGACTGGGGTCACTGGGACCTGCCCAGTGCTCCTCAGCCTTACTCCAGACTGGGATTGGTGCCAGTGGGAGCTCTCTGCTCTCTGCACCCCAGGGGTGACCACACACGTGCTGGGGACCTGCAGGGGACACCCCACAGCTGCTCACCGGATGAACTGTGCCAGCTCCCAGGCCTGCACCAGGCGGTGGGGCAGGTAGGCGTCCTTCTCCCGGCAGTACTCGGCGTGCAGCTGGAGAGGGAGGGAAAGCARAGGGGCTGGGACTCCCACCCCGACWYGTGCCCTGCTCCCAGATCCCTGCAAAGCCACCCAACCCCTCCCAGCAGTCCCTGCCATCACCTTTGTCTGTATCTCACCCTCCTGGGGAGAGCTGGGGATGCTCACCCCACTGCACAGCCATGTTGTGGGTCCCTGACCCTCCTCTCTGCCCCCCACCYCGAACAATATTTTAATAAATCAGTGCATAGTCCATGGTGGAGGGTGGAGAGCAGTGGTTAAAGCAAAGGGACAATAAAAGAGGGCAATGGCCACTCATTCCTCTCCTCCCCATCGTCCCCCCCATGCCAGGTCCTTCCCTGGGATGCTCACRTGGGTGACGTAGACATTGAAGATGATCCCTGAGATCTTCATGACGACRAGACCGACAGACTTGCCGCAGAACCAGTCCCCGTGCTGGAGCTGCCAGAGGGGAACAAGGGCGGGTCAGGGCTGCTGGGGCTCCGTGGGGACGGACACCACAGTGCCAGGTGCCCCCCGCCCCACTCACCATGTAGGGGTACCCGTTCAGGGAGTACTGGTACAGGAGCGTGTCCAGGATGGGGAACCTGGAGAAGACGCAGAGGCCGCTCCCGATGACCCCACTGTGGGAGGGGAAAAGCACAGTGARGAAACGTGGTTCCCAAAAGCTCTGCCTCCCCCTAGCCCTGAGCCAGGAGGGCTCCCTGGATCCCAGTGTGATCCTGTGAGCATCCCACTCCCCAGGCATGGGGTGTCCCGTGGTGACAGAGGTGACCTGAAGCACCCACACCAGTCCCTACACACRGTAACCCCGAGGACATGGCACAGCCGTGGCACTGCCCCACAGACAGCCCCGGGGGGGATGGCCTTGCCCTCCTCACCTGCGGAAATAATGGGAGAAGGGGTAACAGCCGGCCAGTTTCACCATCAGGTCACTGTAGTCCTGCTCGCTCCACACCTGGACAAGAGTGGGATGGGCTGAGAACAGCRACGCTCATCTCCCACCTGGGAATGGGTGCCTTTGGCTCACGGACAGCCCTCACTCACCTCCTGCAGCAGCACCAGGTCAAAGCTGTCCCGGCGCAGCGTGTCCCCGATGAGCCGCACGCGCTCCTGCCGCCGCTTGCTCAGGTAGCGGATGGCCCTGCCCAAGAGGGGTGACAGTCACAGCCGGGTGGGGACGGGGTGATGGGGCTGTCGGGGCACGCTGTGACCCAAAAGGAGGGGCAGAAAGAGGGCTCCTGTACCAGTGAAAGGAGGATGCGGATGGGAAAGATGGGAAGGGGAAAGGGCCATGCAAGAACACGGGGGCAAGGGGGATATGCAGAGATGCCAGCTGGGGATAGCTTCTCCTTCCTGCARAATTGAGGCAGCTCATCCTTGCTTGGGGTGCAAATGGGGGACATTTTCTAGGGCTAACAAGCATGGAGGGGACAGGAAATATTACCCAGCCAAGCGAGAGGGGTGTGACCTCCAAATGAAGGGGACACAAAGGTAACCCCAAGATGGGACCCAATTCCCAGTGTGGTGTCCCCATCTCCACCCACACAGCCCAGCACAGATGTGGAAAACTCTGGACTCACCAGCAGTTGAGATCGAAGACACGGAGGCGCAGGGTGGGCTCCCTCTCCATCGTTCAGGGCTTTGGGGGGGCCGGAGGGCAGCGCCGGGCAAAGCGGGGACCTGCAGGGAGCGGGATGGAGTGACAGCCCCGGGGAACCGGCACAGGGTGCTGGACAGCCAGAGAGCCAGGCTGGGAAGGCGGAAGGGCTGAGGCGAGGCAAAGGCCAGGAAGGAAGGAAGGAAGAGTGCTCGGGGTGCTCCAGCCCCTTGCCCTCCTTTCCTGCAATGCCCACCCCGAACCCCAAAATGCCCCCATACAGGGATCCATGTACCCAAACCACCCGTGTGACCCTGCATCCAGTGCGTGGAGACACCGGTGGGCCGGGGATGGAGCAGAGGGCTCAACCCCCCTGCCTGTCAGTGCTCCAGAATGGACTTTCACCTTGGTTTCAAAGTGGAGCTGCGGAGCTGCGGGCATCGGACACTGTCACACACCTTTCCCCTCGGAAAGCCCACGGATCCTTTTAGAGACCCCAAACCCCGGTGGAGCCAGCAGCTCCGGGTCAGCCCCAGCGCTCGGCCAGCCCCCCTTCTCCCACTCCTGACCCCGTGAGATTGTCCAGTTTCCGCTTTAGAAGCGAAAAAGAGAAGCCCGGCAGCTCCAGGATGCCGGTGCGGCCGATGCTCCGCCCGCCCCGGCGGGATTACCGAGCGGCTCATCCCGCTCCTGAGCCGCGCTAATTAATGCCGGCAGCTTCTAATCAAGCCTAAACCCCCAAGGGCGCTCCCCGCTTCCCGAGGGATGCGGCAGGGACAGCAGCGGGACACGGAGCGGGACGGGACAGCGGCAACAGGTGGAGCGGGGACAGGAGAGCGGGGAAACAGGAGAGCGGGGACAGGAGCGGGGCAAGCGGAGGAGCGGGGAAACAGAAGGGTCGGAGCTAGCGGAGAAGGGGGGACAGCAGCGGGACAGCCGAGGGAGCGGAGCAACGGGAGGATCGGAGCTACCGAAGGGTCGGAGCTGCAGGAGGAGCAGCGGGGACGGCACGAAGGCGGCGCGGAGCGAGCGGCGGGGCCGGGAGCGGACCTGGAGCGGGCCGGGAGCGGCGCGGAGCCGCGGGACTACGCGTCCCGGCAGGCAGCGGAGCGGGGCGGAAGGGGCAGGACCGGGAACGGGAACGGGAGCGGGGCTGGGAGGGTGAATGGGGCTGGGAAAAGTRGGTAGGGCCGGGCCCGGGGTGTGGTGGGTGTAACGGGGTGCGAAGGGTGTGACGGGACGCGTCGGGAGTGCTCGCAGGACGGGGAAAGCGGGCGGTGGTAAAACRTTTGTCCCTTGTGTCCCCTGAGTGCCGAACAGCAGAGGCACCGCCAGAGGGGCTGCGAGCGGTGGTGTTGGCTGGTGGGACAGCCCAGACCTCTGCCCGTGCTGTTTGGGACAAGGATGCGACCCCCTGAAACGCATATTCCTGAATCGCCCCTAAAACACGCGTTCCTCAATTCCCCTAAAACACGCGTGCGTGAATCCGCCTAAAACGCGTGTTCCTGAACCCCCTAAAAAGCGTGCTCCTGAACTCTCCTAAAACACACGTTCCTAAATTCCCCTGAAACACGCGTTCCTGAACCCCCCTGAAACGCGTGTCCCTGAATTTCCCTAAAACACGCGTTCCTAAAACCCCCTAAAACATGCGTTCCTGAACCCCTCCAAAATGCATGTTCCTAAATCCCCCTAAAATGCACGTTCCTGAACTCCCCCCTAAACCACACGTTTCTGAAACCCCCTAAAAACATGCGTTCCTAAATTCCCCTAAAACACGTGTTCCTGAACCCCCCTAAAACGCATGTTCCTAAATTCCCCTAAAACAGCATTCCTGAATCCAGCGATGCTGCGGGGAAAGCGCAGGGAAGCGTCTGCCATGGCCACACAACCTTCCCCAAGCAAACCCTGCAGCAGTGATGTGAACCAGACCAAAATACAGTTGGATGTGGCATCCTGGTACCCAAAATTGGGGTCCCAGGAGAAGCATGACCCAGCCAAGGGGTTATATGGGATTCTCATAGTGCTGGCTGTTGAAGAAAATCCTCCAAAATAAAATAAGAACTTCAGAACTGCTTGAGGCAACCCATGAACAAATAATTTTAATGGTTTTTCAGCAGACCGTAGTTTTCCTGGAGCTCCACAGTCTCCACTCTTTGAAGTTGGACAGATACAGTAAACACAACAAATATATGATACAACCCATCACAGCTGGATTAAAAAAAAATACACAAAAAATATAATACATAAAAAAATGGATTTTTAACATTGCGGACTGACGCAGCTCTAAAAATGGTGATTGTAACCCTGGTAAGCTTTACAAAGTCTTTAAAAAAATAAAACAGTACTTCATGTGAAATTCATAAATACACCGGAGGAGAATGGAGGGGCTGGAGGGGAGGGGGGGRATTGAAGAAGTGTCTCTGGGATCATGATTAAACCCCGGCCAGGGCTGCTGGGGGCACCAGTCTGTGTGCGTGGGTGCAGTGTGAGCCCTGGGCTCGGTGCAGGCRGGAGGGAGGGATGCAGGGATGAAGGATGGAGGCACAAACCGGTCCAGTTAATGAAGAGCTTCGTCCCCCATCAGGGCTGGGAGTGGGGCACGCCTGTGTTTTATGGTGGGGGAGTTTTGAGTGTTCATTCCCAGAGTTTTAGATCAGTGAGTGAAACGGAAGAAGAAAAAAAAAATACAAAAAACCCTACAAAACGACAAACAAAACATGCTACATATGAGAATTCGGCCAGGGAGCCCCAGCACAGCCCTGGGATGGCATGCCAGGGCCTGGCCTTGGATTTTTCCCTCTCCCTTTCCCCTCTGCTCCATCTGCCCTGCTCACAGCAGCTGCCTCAGTCCAGTGCCACCACYGAGCCCTCAGCCTGGCACGGGGCCGGGGTGGCTCTGCCCCGTCCCACAGGGATGGGTGGCTTTTCCCAGCAGCAAGAGGTCAAAGTCCCCAAGCCTCGCAGGACACATGGCATCGAAGTGGCAGCCAATGCACTTTGCTGAGTTCTGGGGCTGTTCCTGCTCCTTGCACTGGCAGCACTGAGCCTAAACCCACCCTGTCCCCCTCCCTAAGGAGCTGCTGTGCCCCCCAAAACACTCCTGCCTTCCTTCACACTGCCTTCGCTCCCCTGAGCCAACACCAGAAACCCACCCAGACCTGGCCACCTCGGGCTCCCTGTCCCCCTGCCAGCCTCCTGCCACCCTGCTCCACGCCACCTCTGTCCCTCTGTGACCCTCCTGCAGCCTGGGGACACTTTCCCCAGACTCTGCCCTTGCAGTTGCAGCGTCAGGACTGGGCACGCTGCCTTGGCTTACTTTGGGCTGCAGCCACAAAAATACCTCCAAGCTGACCCAGTCCCTTGCCCTGGCACCCCTCCTGTTCTCTGTCCCTTCTCTGTCTCTATCCTCTCTGTCCCAAACTCTGCCCACTGACAGCTTGGCCCTGCATTGCTCTATATGTTTTTCCCTGCATGAGCCACCTCTCTGGCCACTTCTCACAGGATGGAGCAGGCTGGAACAGTCAGCGCAGAAAAA